CCTAGCCAGTCCCCCCGTTCATGAACGTACTAGGAGTCCTCACATCTCCCGACCATTCATACTACTGTTACATGGATGGCAAAAGTGGCAGACAGGGGCGGGGGTAGAACCAGAGTGGGAGGGGGGCCAAGTTGCTGCACCATGGGCATCTGGGTTGTACTTGCCCCCTGGGCTAAAAGTTGCCAGTCAGCCCCTGATTCAACCCCAAATGCTATGTAACTATGTAACTATGTAACCTATATTATAGTGTGAGAAAATTAGGTCAGGGTGACTGTCAGAGGACTGTCTAACATTATGTCCAGCACTTAGGCTATCCAATACGCTTAGTGTTGGTGACCAGCACTTGGAGGCATGTCAGAGAAGCTGGCTCTTGCATAGTCTATTCTTGACATTGATGTTCTTTAATGTTTGCCATGACAAGACTTCAGCTTTAGATCATCATCTATGTCTTCCACCCTTTTACACTTTGCAGTACACTTATGTTCAATCTGTATGTCTCCTGAACCACTTTAATCAGAAGTTAAAATTCCCTTTGCATTGGAATTCATTTGACGGAGTCTCTCCAAGACACATTGTCAGAGGTTTACTAGATATCTGATGAAAATAATAATTCCCTCTATAGTATGGTAATGTTAGAGTATTTAAGAATCTGTTTTGGCAATTGCAAAATTGTATATGTGAACTTGATTTTTCCTTTGATTGTCTGAAAGGGTCGGTGGCTTGTGGGCTCCTTACTTGCCGCTCAAGGAATAAGATGTTCAAGAGGTAGAGATGATGTCTGATTTCAGTGTCCAGCTACAGTTTGTGCCCAGTCTGCTCTCTCTAGCTGAGCACTGCAGCATTAGATATAGAATGGCCATTTTAATTACTCTGTAGAGGGTAACCTTGTAAAGGCGTGGCAGTTTTGAGCAGCATGCGAGCAGCCTTAATGTGATGGATTGCTGGGAAGTCCTGCCATTGGTACATACAATGAAGGTTGAGAGCCCCATGCACTAGTATGGATGGAACCATAGAGTTTCCAGTTGTCTAGTTCAAAGAAAGTCTGGATGGAGGGCTTCACTACCAATTGCACTTGTCGAGGGTGGTTTGGGTTTCCGAGCTTCCTACTTTTGACCATCTTGTTCCTGCATGTTGTTATGAATAAGCTGTATAAGAAGGCTGGGACAGAGCTAAGCTAACTTGCATCTACTTCTGATGTCATTCAAGTCATACCCTTTTTTACACATTTTATTTAAAATATTTTATTTAAAAAAATAACAACTAAAATAAGAAAACATAGTTCAGTTTTGTCTGGAAGTATTAATTGGTGCTAAAATGCTCTTTATGTCCATATAGGACTTGAATACACCTTAGCTTTTATATTTAACCACAAACTGACATTTTGATCCTCCATGCATAAATTAATAAATAGTGCAATTCTAAATGCAGCAATCCACTGATAATTAGAAAGAATAGTGAGTTTAGACTGCATTTTAGTTATCATTTAGACCACAGCCATGGCCATTGGATATCAATTATAAGTTGAAGTGGATGTATACCAATAAAGGTTTCCTAAAATAGTTATACAAATCTGTAATACTTACCTGTCCTGAAATCACGGGATCTTAGCTAAAGAGGTGGATCGGAGTTTCCAAGTACTTCAGTCCTAAGAAGCCCCTATAGATTATTGCCCAATATGTGGTTGTGGTGTGACTGCCCACCCTGAGATCACACGGCAACCATTTCTACTGGACATATAGGTCATGCAGAGGTTTTTTCACTATTTAATATTTTAAAGGGCCGGGATTGTGCTACTGTGTGTATGTGTGAGTGTTGGGGGTGTTACTAATTTAGTCATAATAGTATGCTTTATACTAATAACACAGCACAGATAATGGGAGAATATACACTGAGTGGCCAGTTTATTATGACCACCTGACGTTTGTAGGCAAATTTGCTATAATTATCTATAATTTTGTGCTGAAGTTGCTAGAGGGTCAGACCATTACAAATAGGGAAGCAGGTTGTTCTACGACAGATTTTTTTCTGAAGATATGGGTAAACAACGCGATTTAACCGCCTTTGAAAGTGGCATGATTGTTGGCGCGAGCCATGGAGCGAGTATCAGCAAAACAGCAGAATTCGTTAAATGTTCAAGAGGGGCTCATTGTTAAAGTGTTTAAAGGCTGGACTGTCAGCCGAAAATCTGGGTCTGAACGTGTGAATTGTGGCCGTCAGCGACTAGTCAATGTTAGGGCAGAACGGAGAGTGGCAAGACTGGTACAAGACAACAGAAGGGCAACAGTGCAGTGTCAGATTCCTCGCATCACCTTTCAACATCTTGTGGAGTCATGAGGCGGCCCAACAAAGTCACCTCAAGGAGTCATCTCGTGGCCCAACGAAGTACTGATGGGGTGGTCATAATAATATGGCCACTCAGTGTATACCTCTATGCAGGTACAACCCCTTTTTTTAAAACAAAGAAAAACACTTAAAAACAATGATACAGGTCAAGCACAAGTGCATAAAAAGGCAAAATCATTTGGATTTGTCAAGATGGTATGATTGGTTCTATGTACTCTGAAAAGCACTGCCTAGTATAGCAACCTTTTCAAGTTGGTTTGAAAGCTAAAATGCCCCTTACCTTTAATGCTGGTAGTTAGTTAGGGTCAGCTGAGCCATATGGAAATACTGACTTTCAAAAAGTCAGTAAAGGCATATGATGTTTGGTGGGGTTGCAGTGTGGGATTGGTGTGTGGGAAAGCAAAGGTGAGCTACTGGGAGGTGCCTGCTTTGGGACAGGGTTTTTTTTGGTTAACTAGGTGACAGGTTTGCTTTAAACTTTGACAGTGTTTAGCTTTTGGATAAAAGATTAATTAATTGAGCACTCTGGAATGATCCAAGTTAAGCAAGTTGGAATCATACAAGTCCATGACATATTTGACTGCCACAATTCCCATAGTTTCCAATATTTAGAACATTTTAAATCACATAGCATTTTCCTATAACACATACATTTAACATAGAATACGCTATACAAAATGTAATTTTTCTTGTGTTTAAAATGCACAGATGCTCCAACAAATGAAGATAATGTGAGCAGAGGTGTTTTCCAGCTTCCTATGTGTGCAGATACGAGTTCTCAATTGGATGTCTTTCACCGCCTATTGATTATTCGTGCAGCACATCCAGAATGCTTTCCTGATGCTGTATGTCAGTGGGTCAAACAACTGTCCAGGGACCTAGACCTTCAGGAATGTTGCCAGAGCATTGAAAGCATAGCAGGTAAGTGAAAACAAATAGAAATAGTACCCCATAACTACTGTATATTACATATGCATTTGTCTGCAAAGTACAGTTTTATCCCAGTCACATACTGCTTCAGAAGGTGAACAAATATATAGACGTACTTTCTTCCACAAATGGTAAATAATATTTGGGTACATAAAATTTTAATTGGCACCGTCACTATTCCAGTTACTTATAGGCAGCTCATGATGTAATCACCATACAAATATAGGGTGACTGTGATAGTATAGTAATGTAATATTAATGTATATAGTGACATGTTAGCTCCTTTCATTTCATTTTATAATCCAATAGTTGAAAGATGAAAAAAACATGCTTCAACTTTCAATCTCTAATTTAAAAAAATGGTTAACAGTCACTCTAAAGCCAGAATAAAATGTTTCTAAGGGTTAGATAAATGTTTCTATACAAACTGTTTGGTTTTGAAATCCCCATCTATATATTAGAGGATCATTGTTCTTTGTAATATATTTAGTTTTAGACTTCTACTAAGTCAGATTATGGATAGGTGGTCAAAAGGAACAAAAAAATGAGTAACTAAAATATTTTGAAGTATTGCTTTTTTAAAACAGTGTCATCACTTTAATTACATATCCAAAAATGGGTTTATTCCATTGCCTGGTACAATCAGAGGGACCAAAAAGAAACAAAAAAAACAGCTTTTTCGTCTACTTCACCATAATGTAAATTGCTATGCAGTTTCGTTGCTCCACAAACCTTCCCTCACAGAAGCCATGATTTTGTTTATATTGCCCTAAACTATACAGAGGTATGTAATTTTTAGAACTGTCTCTGCTGTAGGTTGCCACTGTGTTATAAGCCAATGGATCTGGATGCTTACTTGGCCATTGTGGCTTATGGCAATATTTCCATCTTTCGACAATCTCTCTTTAATTAAGGAATAGACCATAACAGGTTCAAGGTGCTTATTCTTTACAACAAAACTAATTGGAATTCGAGAAATGTGTTAAACTCAAAACAGATCTAGATAAAACTGAATGGTTGTTATGGGTTACTGCACATAAAATAATACTTATAAATTAATTATTTTCTGAAAAGCCCACCTGCTTTTTAGCTGAGAGGTGGAAGTGATGATATGTTTAGAAGTTGATGCTGTTTTCAAGAGAATAAACGCTAGATATGTTTATGAATACCCAAGTAGTTTAAATATTTAAATATGTTTTCCCTTTAATTTTTAATTTTTTATCTCTGTTCTTAATATGGTTTCTGAGTAATGCTATATATACACAGTGATTACTTGCTGCTCTGTGGTAAATCTTAAGACCGCAAACCTCATGAGGAGGCACTGGTGGACCATGCCTCCCGAGACACACAGCAGTGCCCATTTGCCCACCAGCCACTGGTCCACTGAAGGACACAGAACTTAGACTGTGTAGTGACCCATAAATATGTGGTACCACTGTGTCACTTTAAAAGTGACATCACTTGTGAACCATCGAGGAATTGCTGTACACTTGCAGGTCACCTGCCAAGTCTGAGGTTTGCTTGATGCCAAAACTTTTTTTTAGTTTGGATAGAGTAAGGGATAGTTTTAACTCCTGCCAGCTTTTTTTTCTATCTGTGTCGCATTCGTAAGATTTATCTTCACTTCCTGTCTGCTACAACAGGAAGAGAGGGAAATCCCTGGTGGATCTGCAGGGTCATCAGAAATAGTGTCCCCAAGGAAAGATTTACAATCTATTGTGGTTCTGATGACAACCCAAAATTTGGGAATTTCTTTTACTTTAATTTTTAGTGATAGAGAAGGTGCGTATTTATAATGGGAACATTAGATAAGATACAAACCTGATAGATGTCCTAATCCTGCGCAACTCTATCCGACACTAAAAAAAGTTTTGGCTTCAGTTGCACTTTAAAAGTTAGACCCTGTTCACAGTGAGCGATTTATTGCGTTATTTCAGCTCCAAAATTGCTCAAATATCAGCTCAACGTCGCTCAATGTAGCTTGTCCAATCATTTCAATGGAGCTGTTCAAATCTCACAGCTCAATGTCATCTGTAGCTTGTCGCTCAAGCTTGTAGCTCAAACATGACCTATTTTTTGGCAGATTTTGTGTGATTTTGCCCAATAGACTTTAATGGTGTAGCTCAATATTGCGTGACATTATCACGCTACAGAAGTGTCACTTTTGCACAGAAATATAAGAAGGAAGGAATGATGTCACATCAAGACCACTTTTGATTGGTTACAGCCCAATGTACCAGCTACGAAGTCCCTGTGAAAAGTCGCGCTACGTAGCACGACAAAATGTGCACTGTAGCTCAATGTCGCTCAGCTATCTTTTTTTGGATGCAGCTCAGTGTGAATGGGGTCTTGATGTTAAACTTACCTTCCACCTGCTCACACCCTGGGAAAAATTAATAAGAGGTATTTTATTCATGTTTAACAGTCTGTTGATACATGCAGACATTCTCTGACAGGCTTTTGATCTTCACAAGTAGTCTCTTTCTGTCTCTTGCCACAGGCAAACAGTAACAGTGCATGGCAGGGAGTATCCACTATCCTGCTTCTAAAAAAAGAGTGACATTTGGTACACTATGTGACTGAACCAAATGTCACATAGTGTAACAAATGCCTGTTGTCTGCCATGCCTCTAATACCTGTCCATTCTACTAACAAAATCACTTCTGAGGTCCACAGGGCAGACCTAGTATCCTTTTGTAATTATTTCTTCTGTCACAAGGGTGCTATAATATCCGTTTTGTCAGTGTCTGGAGACACCTATGTATCTATACTTAAACTAACCTAAATATGTTTTATTTCAGTGCTGGATCAAAATACCATTGGTATTTTAGTTATTGAACCTTCTGGCATGTCCAGTACGATTTCATACAGTGGAGCAATCCTGAGCTATAAGGCCAAACAAACCATTGCCGGTACAGCAAAGGTAATGGGATCAAGCTTTTTTTATTTCTTTAATGGTTAATGCAATGATAATTCAAACTGTTCCAATGGCTCCCAGTTAAATTTAAGCTTTTAATTTCTAACTGCTCCAAGCTCACTTCCGTGATGGACTACAATCTCAACAGAAATTACTAAATTAACATGAGATTGTAGTCCATCACAGGAGCGAGCTTGGTGGCTACTTTACAACACACACAGAGACCATATGGAACAAAAGTAGCCACCGTCCAGAAGGAAGAACACTATCAGTACACATTCAGACTTAATTTGAAGAAATACAGCCGAGTGATACAAAAATAAGCTACATTTTTGTCATGAATGCATATTTAAGATTTAACTCCTGAGTTTAGTGTCACTTTAAAGTGCAACATCCAGTGCAGTGCTTTGAATTATGCGCCACCAAGATGTATGATTAAGCCTTTTTGATGAAACACATGAGAGCCTGTGGCCCTTAGGGTTATGCTTGTAAAATTGTAGATTCCTTGGGAATAAACCTTTTACATTGAGGTTCTGGCTGTTGAGTGCTGCTTTACATACATTGGATTGCCAAGATATGGTTGCTGAAAAACTTGGAATAAAAATTACCTTTTACATGATGAACTTTATTGCTTTTAGTGATTATGAGAAATGTATCTTGGGTATGCTATGTAGAATAGGGGTGTTTCTTCAGCTGTTATACAGTATACTGATTTAGCACTGGCTGCATGTCACATTGCTTGAATTTGTTTATTCCAGAGGACAAGTGTAGTATTCTCAAGTTTTAATTACACATGTTTATTTAATTGTTTTTATGTTGGCTGCTTAAAGGGAAATTATAGTGTATTCTCAGTGAATCCATATTTATGGTTATTTTTACCAGTTTTCTTTTACATCTTAACAAACGTTAGGGAGCCCTGTATTTGGCTCAACCTTGCTTAGCCTCCCTGATGAACAATTCTTGAGATAGATATCAGCCACACAGCGAGTTCATTTTTTTTAGTGGGTCAGCCAACTCATAGTCTTAAGCTGGCTATACACTGTTATATTTTTTCCTTCAGCCTGCTTCATCCATGCTAAACAGTGTGAATGGATGAATCTCCCACTGTGGATATTGGCTGCAGTCACTATTCGGCTGAGAATTTGCCCAGATGTTGGGCACAAGGCTGCCTACAGGGCCACCCACTGAGAGAATTGAACCCGGTTCATAAAATTTGCTCAGTGTATGACCAGCTTTACTTTATGAGAACAAGTAGCAATATCTGTAAAAAAATAAGTCAAGGCAACTGGATTTGCTGTATTTTTCTTGAAGACGTTTCACTGGTCATCCAACCAGCTTTCTCAATTCAGAATGACTTGTACAAAAAATTATCTGGCAATAAATATGGTGAATGTTGCTCCAATCCACATAATCTATTAGCCACAACCAGGCATTGATGCATTTGCATAATTGGAGTCTTGGAGGTGTTATTAACCTGCCCAGGGAGAGGTGTTAAAACAGCATTGTATGTGGCAGACAATAGATGTCTTCCCCCCCCCCCCCACCTCTATTCAAGCTTGGCTTCTCCATTTTTACATAAATGGACTCTTTCACACCAGCCATCCTCCCTGTCTAAGGCCCCGTTCACATTGAGCGATTTATCGCGCGGTAATCCCCGCGATATCGCGGCTATTTACCGCGCGATATCGCTCTCCAATGCATCTCAATGGGGCTCTGTCCATCGCGGGTCGTGCGTTGCTACAGCAGGACCCTTTTTGGAGCGGATTTTGCAGCGATTCTAGCTTGCTCAATGCAAGCAATGCAAATCGCGCAACAAACGCGCGATTTGCGAATCGCTCAATGTGAATGGGGCCTAAGATGCGTACGTTCACTGTCTTCAAGGGAGTGACCTTTTTCCTTTAGATGTAGGTATACTGCTGAATCCTGAACAGAGGGTTCTATGCTGTGCCATACGCTGGTGTAGCTGCTGTTTTTTTTCACCGACAGGGTATTTTGGGTGAACCAGTTGTTGCCTCAGTGTATTGCTGAGTTTAAAGCAGGCAGGAATGTGATGTTTTTTAAAAACCCTTCTGAGAAAAATACAGCAAGTCCTGTTGCCTTGACTTATTTTGTACAGATATACCATGACCTGGATGAATGAGAACCTTCACAAGCATATTGCGGCACATTTTGGGGAGAAAACTCTTAAACTTGTATGAGAATATGAAAAGACAGCAAGAAAATTGGCAGACTATAGAAACCAACTATGCTTTAACCTCAGATGCCGACAACAGGGGTTGGTACCTTGCAGCATATGTTTGGACTGCACAGTAAAGGGTCACAAAGTCAAGCTGATACTACATAAGGCCTAGAAACAATTGCTAAATGAACGTGTACGGCAGAGCCATTTCACAGTTGATGCCTTAAAACATACTATCAATCAACTAGAAGAGAGCCTGATTTTTCAGCTACCTGCTGATATTTGGAGGACAGTAACAGACTTCACGGTACATGCACAGCTAGCTCAGCACACTAAGTTCTCCATTTTGTTATCCAGAACTGGAAACAGCCATACTAGGGAGGAAATAACTTGGAGGCAGAAGGAGGAGAGGGGGACATTGCAGAACAAAGAGACATGGGTGAAGAACCTTTCAGCCAGGGTTCTCACCCAGCCGAGATGGATGTCCTTGCTAAAGGGTTGAATTTCGCAATCACACCAAGAACCATCCCTGTAGTGGATATTATCTCAGCCACTGAGGACTCGATTCACAGTAACAAAGTAGCACAGGGTAAGGCTGAACAACTTCACCTACAAGTGTCTGCAGCCCTGGCCAGTGCCAAACCACCACACATCCCTGAAGAAAGACAAGAGTATCACCATCCTACCTGCTGATAAAGGAAGATGCACAGTTGTACTTAATACATCTGACTACGATGATAAGGTGGCTGCACTTCTGAATGATAACAACACATATGAAGACCTAAGAAGGGACCCAACCAGTGGTTACCAGAAGAAAACTATAGATCTACTTCAACAGCTAGAAAGGACAAAGCCATTGATCGGGCTATGTATCATCGCCTCTACCCTGGTGAAGCCCCTCCGTGTATATATGGACTTCCAAAGATACATAAGGATGGGATCTCTCAGGCCAATTGTCAGCAGCAATTGTCATCCCTCTTCACCTGCATACCCACTACAGAGGCAATTGAAACAGTGAGAAAACGGTTGCTACTAGACAACACCCTAGGCAGCAGAAAAATGAATTTTCTTTAATGAAACGAATGGAAACGGTTTTCGTTTTCATTTGCTGCGTAAGAAAACTATTTTTTTTGCTGTGCACATGTCTAGTGATTAACCTGATGTAAATAATATTATGAGTATTTGCTAAGACACATACAGTGCATTCAGAAAGTGTTCAGACCCCCTTCACCTTTTTCAATTTTGTTATGCTGCAGCCTTAAAAATGAATTTTTCTGCTGTTTCGGAGGCCACAAGCCTGAACATGTTGGCCGCTGGCGCGTTCTGCGCTTGCACGCTGCCATCTTTAAGTGTATCTCGGTATACACGAAAATGGCGGTGACATACAGGCGCCGCCATCTTGGTGTATACTAAGATACACTCAAAGATGGCGGCGTGCATGTGCAGAATGTGTCGGTGGACGATATGGCCACCGCTCGTCCAGCGTGTGACGTCATACTGAAAATGCAGAATGAGCGGTGGCCATGTCAGGCTCTGGCGTGTTCTGCCCTTGCGTGCCGCCATCTTTGAGTTTATCTTGGTATACACCAAGATGGTGGTGCCCAAATGTTCAGGCAGAACGCTCCTGCGGCCAATATGGCAGCCGCTCGTTCTGCAAACAAATTTATGTATGCCCGAATATAGTTTTAGTATATTCGGGCATATAATAAATTCGTTATTTCGGATGAACCACCAAATCAACTGAGTTTCGTTGATTTGCAGGTTCGCCCGAATCCAAATGCACGTGTCTATTAATCACTTTAACATATTTATATAAGTTCATATTAAAAAGATTATACATTCCTTTTACCCCAACAGAGAACATTACTTCGCTCCAGTTTTGATATATCCAGTACTCTGCAACATAAATACCATAGTGATTTATGAAGTCATGTATGAACTGTCATTCCTCTCTCCTGTAGTTAGTAATACTATCTCATAACTTCCTCCTAATGTTTGAAATTTTGGTACAAGTATTTGAATCCACTAGAGGACCTACAAGGGGCAATGCTTGTAAGAAATAGGTTTCTACCAGATGTATAGGAATGCACACATGAAAATCTAATGTTATGAAACCCTTTGCTCAAGTCTTTGTAGCTTCTGCAGCCCTATGTAGTGTAGTCCGGGTTGCACATTCATACAGGCGGTTAGTTATGACTATCGCTACATTAAATATATTAGATCAGCTGTTGATTGCTAGTCTTATATTTTCTGACAGCAGTACTTAAATTCAAGCACAGTTGCTGATCAGGTATGCATTAAGGATCTCCCATTGTGCATTTATTTGGCATATAAACTTTAGGTGATTAAAATGTTAAGTGACTTGCCAGTTCAGAAAATATTTAAGCTTTAAATTATTTTTAAACATTCTAACATTAGGCTATTTGTGTACACCACAGATTTTCATTACAAGAATAATGATGACAGATCGTACTATGTTTATTAGATTATTGTTTCTTCATTATTCATTGTAACGTTCAGAGATGATGAATTTTCTTTGTGGGAATTGTAGCGAGCAATAGATCACATAGATGTGTGCTTTAGATAGCAACTTGCTGAGAAGCAGTGTGAAGGAAAACTTCCTGGTAAACTCCAGTGTCTTTTATTTTTCATTTTTTGCTTTGTTTTCTGTGTTAGTATCTTTTACTTCACACAATGTGATCTTGATTGAGATAAGCATATCATGCAGAATAAATAGTGTTAATCTTGCTGCTTTCATCCCTTGCTGAAAAGTTGCCCTACTCCAAAACAGTTATACATGTTGGTGTCTGCCCGTTGTGGAGTCCCCTAAAATTACTGAAAAATGAGTACGCTAACCAAAGTATGTAGAAACTGTTTAACCATATAATACTGAGAAGATATAATCTAAAAATCTAGAATGGTATGGTGGGGAGGGCAGGAGCTGACCTTTTTCCAAACATGAAGTTCTGCTCTAACAAAATTCAGCTGACTTCAGGAAGGAAATATGTTTGATAATGAGTATGAATAGACGTTTACATACACAATACGGCAGAAATTAATAAAATAACATGAATGGGGAAAGTTCAGTTGATCCATTCAGCCAAAACCTGCTGTGTTCCATTTACTGTAGGAATGCATAATGCCTATCCAAAGACGTGCTGGAAGGTAGATTGGATCCTGTCTAAGTTGGCCTTGTATGTATGTGAGATAGGAACCTCAGATTGTAAGCTCCTTGAGGGCAGGGGCTGAATGGAAACAGCACTAAATGATACAATGAATCAGAATGGCTGGCTCATTATACAAAACCTTCACCTAGCCTCAAAGGCCATGCTAAGGAACCTATTAAAGATTTTAAAATATGCTGCAAAAATGCGTGGTAAGATCAAACTTGCAGATTTCTTTTTTTATCATAAAAAGATGCACCAACCTTGTTTACAAGTACTTGTTAGAGAACTTTTATTGCAAGAAATGTTTTACTTCCAGGTCCAACATTTATGACACCCCACTAACCCCCTCCCCCCTATCTAAATAATATCAAATAATAGGCTCATAGTTAACATGTGAACATATTTTTAATGCCTCATTGATTAAACATTTGTATTACACAGATTTTTAAGTTTTGATAAACGGTTATATAAAGGTTCAGTTTATTAGCTTATAAATTGACCAACAATCCTAATGTTTGCCTTAACTGTGCATCTGTGTATTATATAAAGTAGCCTGCAAAGAGGTGTATACTAATTTTATAATAACTAATCATTTATTATTTGATAACTAATCATTGTAAATGTTTCTAAATGCTGTTTACAGTATCACAGAAAGAGGAAAGACAGTTTTGTGTGTGGCTTACTTCTGAGCATGGTGCATCTATTCCGAAAGACTTCTTAGCACATCTTAAAAAGGTGAGTCACGGAAGATTGTTCTGTGCAATTTCATTGCGATAGAAAGCAAGATTTTTTTTTATATTCTTCTACCAAATTTGTATCACCGGCAATTGAAAAATATGCATATCATCATTTCCATCAAAAAGGCAAATGAAAGTACAATGCATGAATTAGAGGATAAGGACACCTATGTTATATTACAAGAATGTTGTGAGAGGGGAGTGGACCTTATAGGGATTAGTGCACTTTAACACACCAAATCCTACCCAAACTTGCAGCTTTCAGTGTTAGAGTCTCTCTAGATTTGGTGAATCCTGTAAGCCATAAAATGAAGACAAAGGCAACATAAAATAACACCAAAAAATGCTTTATAAAAAATAGCTGAAATATTAAAACATTTAAGAAAGCTGGTGAGATTTACATTTCACTACTTGCATATAAATCCCTTAATATATAGTTTGTCAATTTGCAAAATGTATTCCTTTTTTGCTTTTTAGGTATGCAAGTGTTTTCTGCTTAGTAGTGTTGTACAGTGATTGGCTTTACTGCTTCTTTTTCCTTGGTATAGATCTGATTTAGAGATATGTTTTAAGGTCAACCACGAGTTCTGGGAACAGGCAAACAAACTGCCCTGAATTGCCTGGGCGATGTTTGTAAGCGACATTAAAAATGGCATAGGATTCCTTTCAAAATCTGTACCAGACCCTTATCCACTGGACCCCCTGTATAAGGGTCTGGTATGGATTTTAAGGGGGCCCTAAGGTAACCATACACATTTTTTACAACAAATGTGTAGTGTGCTTTAAAAATAAAACAAAAAATGGTGGCTGGCCAAAAAAGGGAGCCGCAAGCTTGAACCCTCTCCCTCCAGAGCCATATCAGGCCACATGCTCACAACATTGGGAGGGTACTTTAACGAGGGGGTGACGAAGTCACCCCCCCTGGTAAGGCACCTTGTCACTATGTTGATGTGGGCCTGGCCTGGTCAGAGACTGGTCATCCTGGCCTGGTTGGGGACTGGGTAGTTATCCCCTTTAGAACAAGGGAGCCCTCAGATATGGGGCCCCCCTCCCTATGTAAATAAGTATGGGGTACATGGAACCCCTTGTTAATAATTTACTAAAAAATAAAATTGAAAAAGTAAATAATTGTAGAAAAAATTTCATCCCAAAAAATAATGTCCCACAATGTAAATCACATGCTAAGCGATGTAGATCCAGCGTCTATCACAATTAGCGACACCTGATGACACAACAACCTGCTGCCATGTTGATCTCCATACATGGTCAATAGCTGATTGTTTACAAACAAAACATACCAGCGGGAAACTGCCATCTAGCTGCAGTAGTTTTTTTTAAACGCTATTTTTGAAGCAGTACATTGTATTGGTACGCAACTTCGCATGCAGGTTTAACCACTCGAAGACCATGTGTTTGACCCCCTTCATGGCCAGGCCATTTTTCAGTATTCAGTGCTGAGGTACTTTGACTGACGTTTATTCTGTCATGCAACGCTGTAATCAAATTCATTTTATACCATTTTTTGGTGACACATTGGTGAGCTTTCTTTTGGTGAGCTTTCCTTTGGTGGTATTTAATCACCTCTGGGATTTTTATTTTTTACTATATTTCAGAAAATTTACTGAAAATTTTGAAAAAAAAAAGTTTTTTTTACATTATGTTAGAAAACAATTAATATTACCCAATTTTTTTTCAAAATATAAAAGACGGGGTCACGTCGGGTAAATAGACACCAAACGTGCCATGCTTAAATATTGCTCGCACCCGCGAAATCACAAAAAAACTACCATACACAAAATTGACCATAGGCGACGCTTTAAAAGCTTTTACTGCTCATCAGTTTAGTGTTATCAGTGATTGATGGCTTTAGAATTATTGCTCTCACTGCGACGTTTGCGCGGATATGTAACATGTGCGGCTAAGAAAACCCCCTATGTGATAGCAAAAGATGTGACAGGTCCTGTTTATGGAGACATCAGGGGTCTCCAAGACCCTTAATGTCACCTAAGACCCCCCGAAGAAGCTGATGAAGCCGAGGTTTGCTTCATCAGCTTCTCTGCAGCGTCTGAAGCTGGAGAGTGACACAAGAATGCGGAAGTGATGCAATATACATCACTTCCGCATTCTGGCAGCGGAGAGTGGACCGGAGGGAGATCTTGTACCGATCTCCCTCTGATCCCCTGTCAGAGAGGCACTATGCTGGTCCCGGGCTCGCACCGGGCACAGCGGAGCCTGGGACCAGCGTGACAATGGGAGGGGGGGGCGGAGGGAGGGGGGGACACGGGCCGGCAGCTCATAAAAGCGATACGCCTGCTCTATAGCTAGCGGATCGCTTGTATGTTAACAGGCATCGGTGCCTGTTTTTAAATTGACTGTGTTTCCCGCTCGCGCTAGCTCTCAGATCTAGAGAGCTCCTGGCCGGCCGTTTTTTTACAACGGCCGGCCGGGAGGTAGTTAAGATATCCCCCAAACATGTTCTTTTTAAGTATTTGTGTATTTTTAAAAGACCCACTTCCCACTAAATTGTATTTTTAAAAAAAAATGTTTTGTTTGCCATGTTCCCCATGGCAGTGCTCAGCTACCCATGCCCTTTTTAACAAGCTAATTGCACTTGTTGGACCTACATTCATAGCAATGGAAGGGAAAATAAAATGACAGGTATAAAATTGCACCATAAAATAATGGAACAGCAGGCAAGTATACCATGCAAAGACTATACCAAAAACCGCATTCAGGTAAATTTTAGAGTAATAACAAAATGTTTACAAACAGAAAATACATTAACATTTTCTTTTAATTCTTAGTGCAGATAGTGTTTTCAACATGTTTGACATACTACTAGACTGATAAGTTAGTGAAGTCTATTTGTTTTTTATGGAATGAAACCTAGTAAATTTGAGCCCAAAGAATGGATATATTTGGAAAGGCTATTGCAATGGGACTACTGTTCTTAAATTTACAGTTACTGTGCATATATCTATGTACTGTATATAGGTGTGTTCAGGTTTAGTAACTTTTTATTTAGCTCCTATGTCTATTAAGAATCAGTCCATTATTTACGAGGCCTTGCCTTGTCTACAGTTTTTGTTATTAATTAAGCACTAAACTGTTAATTTATCCACTCACCTTATCAAGGGAATCTCTGGAAATGAAATTATATTGCTAACGGATTCCGGCAATCTCCTTAATTGCGGTTAAAGCCTACTCAACCTATTATTCTTAATGCTTCATTCAACATGTAATTGGGGTCTAATGCACGCTCTATAATCTTTTAATAACAACAACATTGAGCTTCACATATATAAATGCTAGGCTCATGAGTTTCTACAGGTTATTTATCATTTATGCTTTGTGTTAATCTGTAAAATAACTTGCAGCTAATTAAACATGAATCACTACTAGTGGGTGAAGTTTAATTGCTGTTTATTACATTTTAATGATGTCTTTTATGAGGAGTTTTCAGATATCAATTAGGGTTGGTGATGCAATAAGCCCTGAAAATGAATAAATATAAGAATAACAATATACTACACTTTTACACACTATCAAGGGTCTTTGATGCTGTAAACTAAAAGAGACTCTGTCATGAAAAAAAAACAAAAATCTGCTGCATATATAAAGGTCAGGTACCTACCTTTACCTACCAGAAAGGCTGGGGATTCCACCCTAAGGGTCTTGAAGGCTGGTGGTCAGAATGACAAGTAGGCATCTCTAGGTTCCAGCACTTTATATATGAAGCATTGATTGTATTATATCTTGACTGGGAGTTAATACGAATACAAAAGATGATAGATACGTTTAAATTAGTTTAATTGAAGCAGTGCATTAGCAATGATCTAGTGCAAGTGCAGTAACCCAAATGAACCAGTTAGATTTCACCTGGTAGCTGATAGAGATGTAAGGGTGAGTAGGAGGAGAAAAGGTAGGTTGAATCTTTTCTCCTCCTACTGACCTAATGTTTATAGACTACCCTTTTATAATGCTCTATGATCTCAAACATCCTAAATTGGATGCATTTTTATTTGACTTAATAGTATAGTACACTGACTTTGAACCCTTGTATGTATCCTCAGCAGAATCATTCTGTATGTTTTGCATGTTTATTTTAATCCTGAGTAGTAGACATGTGCGATTCGTTTAGTTCCGAAACGAAATTCGGACGAAATTTCGGAAATTTGGAGATTTGGATGTATCCAAATTCTGAATTACAGCTAAAACGAATCAGACTTCCCGATTTTCCCGAAATTCGTTAGCCGTAGTCCGGTCGAATTTTCGTTTTCGGACGAATGTTCCTTTTTTAGCGGTAGTCTGGTCGAAATTTCGTTGCAGCAAAATGACATCCCCCCTCTTGCCGAGGGCACTTGGCCTGGTAAGGCGCAGGGGGGGGCTATATCGCCCCCCCTTTCCTATCCTGCCCTGCTGGGCCTGTCCTCGGATCAAGGGTCTGGTAGGAATTTTAGGGGGGGGGCCCACGTTTCCCCCCTCCTTTGTGGGGGTGGGGTTCCCCCTTAAAATTCCAACCAGATTTAAAGGGTCTGGTATCGATTTTGGGGGGAAACCCACGCACATTTTTTTGTGTTTTAACTTGGGGGGTCCCTCCTAACATTTTTACCAGACCTAAAGGGTCTGGTATGAATTGGGGGGGAACCTCACGGTTTTTTTTTTCATCTTCTGCAAACTTAAAAAAAGTGTGATTTTTTTTGTTCCTAATGTCATTTTGCTGCAAAGAAATTTCGTCCACAAACTAAATTTTGACCGGACTACCGCTAACGAATTTCGTCCGAATTCCGAAAAAAATTTAATTTCGGACCCGAATACGAAAAACGAAATAATGCAAAATCCAAATCAAAACTAAACTAAACAAATTTTTTGCTGGTGCACATGTCTACTGTGTAGCACTCACCCCCAAAATATACCCGAGTCATCTCTAGCCTGCCTAGGGATTTGTAGCAACCAGCTGCCCCATAGCAATAACTGCCCTCTTCTAGTGTCCAACAGAGCTTTGATCTAGAACAAAAGTATGATGCTGAAGAACTTTATTTTAACATCTGAGCTGGGGGAGAGGGTATAGGGCTTAGAACATCCGTGAGAAAAGTAGACAGATTCCAGACTCACCATTCCTTTTCAGAATTCCAGAATTCCAGTACAGATTCAATAGGAGCACTGACACTGGGTATATGAACAACCGTTGGATAGGGATTGGCACATAATCTTAACTAGGAGAGACACCAGACTTGCTCCTGAGGTCCACTCTATTCCAGGCACCTCCAGCAGCCACCAGCTTCACTGGTTCTCCTCCTCAATCAGTAGCAAAGACCTCTTCCAGACTTGAGGCGTAGCAAAGCATTTGCTGCACTCAAGTTTTCCCAACCCCAGGCCTAGGCCTGGGGGCAGGCTGGACAGCACCCAGCCCTGACTGGACACTGGGGCTATCCCAGACTGGACTTGACTGAGCACATGGCAATTCCTCTAGAGAGACTATATATGCCCTGTCCCAGCATGCACCACTGGCTATGAGAGCTCCAGTAATTGGCTGGTGAACTGCACATGCACTCACAGTATCCCCCATTGGCTGTTCCACACTGCAGCACAGTCACACTCCACTCAGGCAGGTAAAATCGATGCCAGAACACCTGGAATTAATCCGATAAATGCCAACTATAATTCAGCCAGACTGACTACAGCTCTGGCAATCACTAGATTTCTAATAGCCACTCCACTAAGGTGGCAGGGGCTACACTTGTATAAAATGAATTGTAGGACTGAGCATTATAATTTACTGAAATGACAAATCATTCTGTATAATTCACAGAGTGTTTGGGGTAACTTAATGTTAAGTGATTGACTAATATGTGTGCCACATCTATAAATGATCATCCTCATGAATCATCTTGCAAGCATAAATATATTAGGATCTGTTTCTACAGCTTTACCAGTCAGATAACATATTTTTGTTAGGGATTTGGAATATCTATACATTTATATGCACAATAAATGACTAAAACATACTTTTATACAGCAAGTAACAAAAAAAATATTACCTAATTAGTGGTAAACTTGCTTGGTAAATTTCTCCTAATTGTAGGTATCCTGGCATTTCCTAATAATGAAACAAGATAAAAAGAAATTGTCACTGAATGATGGGACATATATGGACTGTCTGCCTCAACTGTTGCTTTCAGGTAAATCATTATAACGTAATGTAAACTAATCTGTCTTCTTTATTTGTAAACATTATTATATGTTTGCTCAAATTTATGTTCCAAATAGCAGGTGGGGCTCTAGGCACCTTCTTAGATGTTTTTTCAGGCTTAAGTGTACCTTTTTGCTGATAAAAGCTGATGACTCATCTACTTTCCCACCTGCCAGTTCAGATCAGCCCCACACAGAAATTCAATCCAAGTAGAGTTTCAAAGCAAACTGCTTCTGCTCTGGTTTATCAATTGAAAACCCATAATGTTCTGTGAAACCTGTATTCAATGTTTATTTGTCAAATAAAACAATATATAAATAGTAAATAAAAGCTTACAAACTATATAAAACTCAAGGGATTATGGATTATAGTGTATGTATATGATCCACCAGGAATATGCAATATAATTTCTGGCCTAGGGGCACATTCATTTTTAATTTAGTGTTGTCCTAAGACAGAGCAGTTATAAAACTTGAAGATGCAGTTTAGAAATGCAAGTAAACAGACTGGTATAAAGAGCACTATTATGTTCAAAAACAAAACAAAAAAGTTCAATCCAATTGCTGGCATTTGGTGCATATTTAAATATTCATAGTTTTCCATTTTTTGGGTCATGTTGGAGGTTTTGTTTTATAGCTGAAAGTAATACATTTCAGTTTTATTATACAGGACGACATGGACAAGAATTTTGTGATATATTTCAAATATTACATTCATTAAAAAAAAACGAAACACATAAACTAAACCACAATTTAAATTTCTTAATAAATGGGAACAGGGGGGTTGAAAAACAAAGTATCTATTTGTTTTGTTTTATACTAGAGCATTAAAAAGCACATGTTTTGATTGAAATGTTTACATATATATTTTTTGCCAGGTTGCGCCATCTGTGTTAGCAGAATATATTTATCCCATTTGTGATCCACTCCAGTCCGTTTTCTTAAATACCCTCATGTGTTTTTATTTCTTTGTTTTTTTTTATAATGTGCAACCTTACTAGCAATTGCAGTGTCCGAATTCAGAAACACAAATAATGCTTCTAGACTTTAACATATTTAAATTTCTAAGCTATGTTCCTTAAAAATATAATTGCTTATATTGTTATGTAATAAGCAATCACGGGCAGGGTCTTCCTTTCCATCTTGTCTTGAATTGTATTGTGATTGTAATGTCTTCCTTATATTGTAAAATGCTGCGCAAACTGTTGGCGCTATATAAATCCTTGATATTAATAATAGTAATAATAATAATAATTTGTTAAATTAGCCATCACTTCAGCAATGGATCAGATAAATGAAGAGACTTGTTCAAGCGTGAAGAGGAATCCAGTCTCCGTTCAAAGACTCTACTTTGGAATTTGTGTATTGCATGGTGTTCTCCAAACACAGCAGATATTTCCCAAAACGGGGCTGAATAAGCTAATGGATGTGAGCCCTGTACAGTTGCACCAGGTACTCTAGATATATATACAGAACATATTTCGGTTTTAGGCCTGTTACATGCACTATTAGTCATACAAACACTGACATTTTACTTTTCTTAAACTTTTTTCTATTTTTAGTCAGGTTAATGTGAAATATTGCAAATGGATATTATGTAGTCTGCAGTCAAATAAAGCTTTTGACTAATCACAGTACAGTTACAATACAATTTACAATACAATACAGTTTCAGAACAATAGGGCTGGGAGGGCCATGCTCGTGGGAGCTAACAATCTAGTAGGAAGGGGCAAGTGGTACAAAAGGTAATCATTGTTTGGATTGAGTTATTGAAGGAAGTAAAAGGCAGTTATGGTGAGATGAGATAGGCTTCCCTGAAGAGATGGGTTTTTAAGGATCTCCTAAAGGTTGGGCAGCGTAGGAGATAGGCGGACAGATTGGGTAAGAAGTTCCAGGGGATGGGGAACCCTCTGGAGAAGTCCTGGAGGCGAGCGTGGGAGGGGGGTAATTGTGTCCTCCGCGGCTGCTGACTTCCGAGTTGCGTCACTTGCGAGCGGCCGAGTCGCAGGGCGGCGGAGCCGGCGGGAAGTTTGAAAGTTAATTTTTTTTTAAATAGAGAAAATAAGGGGGAAAAAAACCCCAGCCTAATTAATGACATGGCTACTGGCTAAACAAGAAATAAACAGAAATATACAAATGATTTCACTAGTAAACTAGGTAAATTAAAATGTTTAATAGTTTTTTAAGATGGTCTAAAAGAATGATTTAATTCAACCTGCAGAATTTCACTTTTATGTGAGATTAGGTGTCCTAAATTACCCTGTGTATTAATTTAAGACGCACCATTTAATGCAATTCTGTTTTCTTTACAAACACCATTTATTACTAATTTAAACTAGTGTAAGTGCATGTAATTGTCATATTATCAACCTTTTGTAATCCCTTGTACAGCAGCCCTCACACAGGGGGCCCTACTGTAGTGCTATAACTGATCCACGATTTGGTTATGATGTCTGGCAGGGCAGCTAGATCAAAAGATGATTTCTGTGTGAATAGTATTACATTCTTTTGCCAGATAAAATAGTAAACTATATGTCAACTGTGTATTTAGCTGTTCTCCTGTAGTTTACCTGATGCAGTGGAGAAAAACATTGCTGGTTCCTTGCCATCCTCACTACCAGTACTAGCCAAATCACTTTCAAATTTAATGCTGATTACCCAATACACTTTTTGTTTTCTGTCTCTGCAAATAACTAATTAGAGCTACACTAAACTTAAAAAGGAAATAATAAAAATAACTTGTATTATATAAATAATCAATGACTGTGTACCTTTTTTTGTCATTGTTCAACCCTAAATGCTCCAAAATCCATTATATTTTTCTCCATCTACAACTTCCTGCCGGAGGGTGGCAACTTTTTTCTCCATGAAGCTGAAAAGTAGCCACCCTCTATGCTCCTTCATGTGAAGGACTACAACATGGTAAAGACATGTCTTCTGATTCTGCCTCTCCTCAGACTCTGCCCACAGATCCTCCCCTCTAGACTCTGCAAGGAGCTGGGATTTCTTCAGCTCTCCCACACTGATATATGATCTTTGATTTCTCTCCTCCTCGCTCACCAAGGAGGGGATGTGGGGGGGGGGGGGGGGGGGGGGGGGGGGGGGGGGAATGCAG